ACGAAGAAGTATATATGGCTTATATGAAATATATTTAAATATATATATATATATGAATAATAAAACAGTTATTATCACGAATGAACAAACAAAATAATATTATCACAAATGAACAAACAACACATTAAATGAACTGTCCAACATAAACTGTATTAACAAGAAAAATAATATGAAACATTCTAACAAAACGAACGAAACGTTGAAAAAACAATTCTCATAGTACATGACTAACAAAAAATTAACAAACCCAAAATCTTGGATCGATTTTACTAATAAAGCTGTTACAAATTTGTGGCTGGGCATGGAGATCTCGGTAACCGGTGATTGTTAATCGAAATTCCCATCCTCAATCAGAAATTCCTAACAGCCTGTATAATATTTGGAATTTCAGTATACAGGGTGTCCCAATTTCGCAGGCCAACATGGAAAACTCGGGAACGGTTTTCTCCTCCCAAACCACAATAATAGAGAACGTTTCAACCTGGAAATGTAGATTCAGAACATGCAGTTAACAACTAGGTAAAACTTACCGATCTATCAAGGCTGGCCAACATAATATAGGTAGTCTTATTTTATTTGGTATATGATATTATCTCAACGAATCAACGATTCTAACACTCTCAACAATAGCATCGACTCTCTGATTCCAAATCAAACGAGTTCAAGTATAGACGCTATCATACGCTATGAATCTAAAAAGGAACCAGACACCAGCAACCGGCCATCTCACATTCACACTGATGCCACGCCTTCTAATATCAGAGTCCTTCTGAACAATTTCCAGGTACTTCGATTACTACTAAGTACTACTAGCTACTAGAACTACTATTCGATATTCAAGTTCTTAATATCAATGGTAATTGGGATACGTCGAACTGATGAATTGTTTTAATGCAAAATGAGTAGTTCATTTGATTGTCAATAATTACAGTAGTCGAGTATGAGCTCGATGAATCAGGGTATATAGGGCATTATCGTAGTTTTGGCAACATCTACGACCCTAAACGAACACGTGCAGAGCACATTGTGCGCAACATTCCTGCTTTTTCGAGTTTACTGGTGAACAAATAACTGATCGGCCATGCTAAACAGATGGGGATATGCCATACAGGGTGTTCCTTAATAACATGCAGAGGGTGATTCTTCGGACCCAATTTGAGAAAAATCTTCACATGAATTCATGACCTAAACGTCTTAAATTTTGAGATACAGGGTGGTAAAATTTTCAGAAAAAAATTTTTTCTTCCATTACCTACTATAACTGTTTATATGCTATTGTTTATATACCTTCATCAAATTTGGTACACGTCTTCTATGCATCAAGATACATTTTTTGATGTATACGATCAAATTCATTTCTTCTCGACAAATTCATTTTCCTCTATTATTTTCAATTGACATACATTATTGAAATTAGTTCCTGACATATTATGACAAAATGTTCAACATTTACGTTCTATTTCGTGTTCTAGAACGTGAAACTTCGCTGACATTTCAATCAGAACATATATTTTTGTATCTAGAATGCGAAATGATACTTTGCGTTTGAGAATGAAAATTATTCTGCCGAGCTTCAGCGAGACAAAATAATCATTCGAGTAAAGGTTTCGACTGAAGAGCTTCAACTTGTTAGAAACCTGAAGAAGTCCTGAAGTCCATATGTTCCTCAGTAGAGGTAGAGAAAATACACTGAAATGAAATTGTAGAAATGAATTTCGAAGCAAGCTCTACATTATATCGCTGCTACGGGAGTATAATGCCACAACTGCAAAAATTCACTTCTGAATCAAAACTGAACAATGTGCCGTCATTCTGCCAGAGAGGGAAGTCGTGTCAGAAATGGAAATTTTCTGAGAAGTTAGAAAAATTGATAAACCTCTATAGCTATATATCATGGAATATAATGGATGCGAATCACTTATTCATCCTTGAGACACGATACAGAGATTCCAAAAGAATTTATTTTCAACGCATTCGATGAACGTTCTTGATATGCTAGATAGACTCACAAATACACATTCATATTCGATTCGGATCGACCAAAATGTGAGTTCCATTGTGAACAATTCATCTTAATTGGTATCCCGTAGCGGTAACAGCAACTTATAATTTAGATTCGCATTTTCAACATTTGATGACCTGAATGCGACATCTCAGAGAGGTTTGTGTTAACTGGGCAGGGCGGTTACATAATATGTTCAATTAATAAATAACGCAGCCATTGTAGCCACATTCTAATATTTTATGACCCTCACATCGACTTCATTATTCCAAATGACACACCCCATATATACTTATATATACCAGTAAGGAGATTTTGATACTCATTCAATGATCTGTGTATTGCACCAGACAAATTTCCCTTCTTCTTCCTCCATTCAACGAAAGGATGTGCTGACTGGGCCTGTCGAGTTAGCCTGAGTGGTATTGCTAGTAATGGAACTTGGTAATTTGAGGAATTTTAATTTTTATTAGGCCCAATCTGGATTGCGAAGAATAGGAACTCATATTGGTATCATATGCGATGGATATATTTCCAATTTGGAACTTACGTGTTTTTGCATAGAAAACTAGAATATCATAACGAAAATGTGAACAAATCAATTTTCATCGAGATATTTCCATAAAAATTTAAAATATACAACTAGTTATCCTTTTTCCATAATCTTATATCGTACTGGCGATATACCTAAATGACACATCCTGAACATATACAAAAATCAACAAGAAATACGATACTTTAAATTTTTCACGTATTTATCAGTGAACCATCATCAACTGATGACCACTGAAGGATCAAAGACATCTGCTACAGATGCACGACGAAAGAAATTCACATCTACCGTAGGGGTGACGTTTCACAAAAATCAAATAATTAAAAAAATCGACAAAACGTTTTCATTTTTGATGATTATTTTCGCAAATATAACGTGAGCATAACGTGTTCAAATCTATAAAAAAAGAACGAGTAGCTATATATATATATACTTGTTGATTCACGGTGGATGGCACATTAGACGTTTCTGGAGACCGCAACGCAGGATTATACTGAAAATTTGGTTTCTTGGATAAGTAGTTGTGTTCTATCGACCAAAAATATTCTCAACACTGCGACGTTGCCGCTTATATTGAAAAGTAGCAACATCTTTGATTTGTTGAATGGGACACCCTATATATTATTCCATTCTCAGATTCTTCCTAAAGAGCTGATTTCATCGATCTATTATAATTGGGGTCTAGCGGCAATGATAACAAGGATATAGGATGTGTTCAACTTCAAGAATTTCTTGTGTAGAAACTATTCATAATTAGTCAAAACGGCTTTCATGTCCCTATTTCAACTTTTCATGTACTATCAATTGATATTTAATTGAAATAGATACAGGGTGGTTCAGAATTAAGATTTCAATTAAATATCAATTGATAGTGAATGAAACGTTGAGATAGGGACATGGCACCGTTTTGACCAATTATGAATAGTTTCGACATAAAAAGATCTTAAAATTGAAAAATCTCGATTTTTCACACCCTATATCTCTGTAATTGTCACTGCTAGACACCAAGTGGTTATAGGTCAATGTAATCAGCTCTTCCAGGAAAATCTGAAAATGGAATAATATACAGGGTGTGCCATTTAGTTGTTGCTACTTTTCAATATGAGCGGAAACGTCGCAGCGCTGAGAATATTCTAGGTCGATAGAGCACAACTTATTATCCAAGGCACCAAATTTTCGGAATGATCCCAAGTTACGTCCTCCAAACGTCTAATGTGCCTTCCACCGTGAATCAGCCTGTATATTGCGTTCCCGAGACGAGTGAAAAATGATGTGAAATTTCGAACTTTTTTATCGCTTGGAGCGCACAGAAGGGAATCCCTATAATTTTCGAGAAATATCGTGCGTACCTAGGGAGGATAGGGAGAGGAGGTAGGTATTGGCATTTTTTTTATATTCATATAATTTCTTGCCTTGGGATATATTGATAAACACTTATTTTCATCATAAAATTTGTTTTTCAAACAAATATTCGTAAGAACTAATAGAATTTTCGAAGAAATACGGATCGCATGGTGAGTACAAATTTTCCCTCACATATTATGAAGATGAAGACAGTATAGGAAGCACTGCTAATCTATAGATTGAATGAAACAAGCACCGATTGATGAAAATATAAATAGTTAAATTATTGAACGAGCACGGAATGATAGTGATTTTTCAAGAAAATGAAATTTACAGCATGAGCCGTAGGCGAATGCTGCAATCATACGAGTGGGAAATTAACATTACGTGCGAGTTATAGCTTTCTCTGTCATTGCTTGAAACTTGACTTCCCATGGATGATGAGATTTTTTTTAAATAATAACACGCAATATGAAGTCATTGTGATATCAGATACGAAAATAAAATTGATAACATAAAAGTACCTCATCGACGTATCGAACACAGTAAAACAAGAGCAAATTTATGTTATAGCCATAGAAAAACAACTTGGTACGTCAAGGCATTTTCATATTCCAAGCATGAAGCCCATCAAACCCATGAAGAGTACTTTGAAATAAACCTTATTTGACCAGCCGATTGTGACCACTTCGTTACCTATCTTAATGGATAAACATATTCAAACTTGTATGAATAACATTCGAGAATAAACACGCTCCAATAAGTAGGGTACTCACATTATATAGATGAGGACAGAAGCAAGTTTCACAGTGAAATTTCTCCACATCTAATCTCAAGTCAATGGAAAGAAACAGCGATTGATGGAAATTAAACAACTTGGTACATCAAGGCATTTTCTTATTCATGAGGCTCATTCAAACCCACGAAGAGTATTTTGAAATATACCCTATTTGACCAATAGATTGTGACACTTCATCGTTACTTAATATCTCGCCTAATACCTATCCAAAAGGAAAAGATAATGACAGCTTGGTTTTTCCTATTCAAACTTGTATGAATAGCGTTCGAGAATGAACACGCTTGAATAAGTAGAGTACTCACATTATTTTGATGCGGACAGAAGCACTATTTCACCGTGAAATGTCTTCACATCTAATCTAAAGAGTCAATGAAAACAATCACCGATTCGGATTTCGTGTTGTACTGCGTCAGGGCCGATTGGGATTATTTGTTTTTCACGTTAACATGCCTAAAAAACAATCGGCGATCGAGGAATGATCGTCAAGCGGCGCGCACTGCGATCTAGTGTGCCGTGAGATCATCTGGGAAAGCGGCGGAGGCGAGGAAAAACGCTGAGCGATCGACCTCGCGTCGCCTTGGTTACCGGCGGGAAAAGGCCGCATTGGAAAACAATAGGGATTTTCACGAGGAAAATTATTTTTCGGCTGTTAAAACGAAATTTTCCATCATTACACTGAAAGTATTGTGATGCAGATTGTAGAAAGAAACACTACACAACATAATTATAATTAACGCGCGGTGTGCCCGTGTGACGCTGTACCCTTTAGACCGTCTAGTGTTCTGATCGTTACCAAGAATTTTGAACAAAAATCGTATTATGACCAGTTTTTTTTCAAGATGACGGGGCAAGTTTACCAACTACAACTGCATGTGAGAACTATTTTATAGTATAAAACAAACATATATACAGCGAGTTTCATTACAAATGGCCAGGTTGCCGCTTCCCTAACAACACAAGATCTTGCTGCTCTAATAACACAATTATGTCCCATGAATATCCTGTCGGGACATCCAGGACGTCCATAGGACGTTCGAATTTGGTACCATGGACGTCCATTGGACGTCTGGGGGACGCACAAATGTCCCACTTGAGGACCAACTAGGGACGTCCTTGAGGGATGTCCCTGGGACAACTATCGTATACCTAAATCCTACAGTATTCCTCATCAAGCACTACGGAGGACACCCTTAGGCCCTCAGGACATCCGTAATAGGACAACCTTTTCATGGACACAACGAAACATTTTCAACGCGTCTTATTGCGCACATTAAATCTATGTAAAAACCATTTTCGAGGTACTTTTCTGAAACCTTTTGTCAAAATGAACTTTTGCATTAGGATTCCATTTCCCTTGAATGAAAAAATGCATCAAAAATAGATTGAACATAAAAATATTTTCTTGATATGAAATTACCTTCTTAATCGGTTTCTGAGTAGTGCTTACTACACACAGACATATAATTGGAAATAGGTTTCCCAATTTTTGAAATGTTCTCCACAATGCATAATTTTGCAACTGCGGAGAAGCTGTGTATTGATGAATTCGTACTTTTATATATTGATTACACTGAGGCACCGAACAACACATCTTGCATCTGATGGTCATTATTACAAACTAAATAAGTCTTCTAACACAATAAACTTCACCAAATTCCTTTCTGTTCGTTAGCAGCGTGATGTAAGCGTGACACGCTGCAAACGCGAATGCCAATTGCGAACAAGAAGAACAAAATCGAAAACAAATCAGAATTCATCGTATTGTGACGTAAACATGAGACGTTGTGGTGGGGCAAACAAAAAAAGGGCACAAAAGAACAAAAACAATACTTTCAATATCCTTCTAAGACCTCTTTGGGAAGTGCATATTACGCCTCAAAAAAACATCCTCATGCCTACATTTCTAAAACATCCCAAAACATCCCAGGGATACCTCTCAGTAGGCAAACAAAGAAATGCCACAGAAGAACAAAAACAATACTTCAATATCCTTCAAAGACCTCTTTGGTCAGTGCATATTACGTCTCAAAATAACATCTTCATGCCAACATTTTCAAAACATCCCAAAACATCCCAGGGATGTTTGTGCTCGCTGGGAGAGATGTTAAAATATTATCCCATATTAATGTTTCTACGACGTCTTACAGATGTTATTGTTTCATTAGGGTTGGTAGAAGCGTCAGTATTCTATATTCACGTTGAATGGCTGGTTCATGGTATCGATTCCCACGACTGCAGACATTTTTCTGATGGCTTAAAAGAAAGTGTTAGGGATGACAAATTTAAAATTAAGGCCCCCGTCGATCCTTGCTCGCACAACTCTCTCGAAGACTTCTGAGGGTTGCCCTTAAGGGGGATGATGGATGAGAACAATTTTAGAAAATATTTTTCACTTCAGATCAAATTGGGAATCCAACTATTGAATCCTGAGCTCAAATATGAAGATTTAAACCGACTCACCTTAAGATAAAATGTATCTTTTCTGAGTTACAGGGCCTTCCATTTGAAAATTCAGAATGTATGTCATTTTATTCTTGTTAATAAGGATCAGAGTTTTTTTTTGCGTATGATGAAAGCAAAACAATGACTCAAAACTCAGAACATTATGAGCTGAGAAGGATTTCGCTTATACATCACATACCGACGAAGTATCGAAGGCATGCAACAAACATATCTCAAATTGTGATATGTATGTTGGGTACCTACTTTGGTATAATCAGTAGTAATACTATGAGTACTTCAGAATATTCAGGTTTTACATGGATAACTTGTTGCATAATTATTACAAAGAGTGTCAGTCTAACAGTTGAAATAATCCGACTGCGATTCGGGAGGACTATTCTGTTTCTTATTCATTTTTTAATAGTTGTACAGGAAATTCGAGATTTATAACCTCGAAGATTTCAGAGTTCGAATTGTATTTGATGAGATTATTTTTTGAGTATTCTGAACGAATGTCAAAATCTGACGATGCACTTTGTTTGTATGTAACAATATAAATTAGTTACTTTGGAAATGGAAATAATTCTAAATTTCTGATTGGTTGAGCTACTTTATGAATATCCACATATATTCGAAATTATACGAGGTAGCTCAACTCATTTGCACGTTATTCTGATTGAATTTAAATCATACGAAGAAAATAATCCTCTATATATTATATGTAGTTAGCTAATACCCAATGGATGATTGATGTAGTAAGCTTCTGCTTTAAATATAACTTCTTTTGATAATTGTAACCTTTCCATACTGGCACACGGTTGTCCTCTCGAATTCCTTCTTGATGAAAAAAGACGGCTTTATTCAAGACATCCATCTCCATATAGTTAAGAGCTAGCACATGAATCTTTCAACGCGTCGTTTTTAGTACCCACATAAACGAAAATGAAACAGATATATGATGCAATGAATTTATATGAATTTTTACAGAATATATATAGTGGAAATAATAATAATACACATGAGTAGAGAGAATAAGGATGAGTGTTTCATTCAATTCAAATTCAAACATGATTACATATATATACGATATACGAATATGAAATACAGGGTGGAGACTTTAACTGGAATAAATTCGCTACTGGGGGAGTGGACGATTTTTTCTGAAAATTCGCGAGAGACTACAACGTTTCAATGTATTAACCTACATTTGGCGAATAATATGGAGAATATAGATAGATAGATAGATAGATAGATAGATTTATTAGTCCTTTGTGCTACATTATGTAGATGGGACAGGTCATATTTGTCAGGTATAATATATATGTATATAAGAATAAAGAAAATTTCAAGTAAAAAATATCACGTGACACACATTGTAAAACAAACAAATACATATTAAAAAAGTAAGAATAGAATAGATAAGTAAACAACATGCTAAAAACGTTACAATGACAGTGATCTGACATTACCAACTTCAAGTATAAATTCATCTACTGTGTAGAAGCATTTTTCTGATAGAAACACTTTCAACTGTTTAACTGTATAACTCTTCAGTAGTAGCAGCTGTGCACCCCAATAGCCCGAACTTGTTTTTTTCAAATGCAATCCTATGGCTTGCGACCCCTTATTGGAGAGCTGATCGAAAGAGGAATCAGCGTACTGATCACATTTCAGTTTGCAGTACGTTTGGGGGTCGCATAAAATCTGAGTATAATTTCAAAGTTCAATATATTTTCATCAAAATTTCGCTTTTTAGTGATAGTGATATCCTTTCGAACTGTGATTGTACAGAATTCTTTTATTTATTTTTTCGGATCTGTGAAAACACTGGAATACAATAGAAGATAGTAGTTGTAGCAAAAAATTGCTATCAGTTGTTCAACACACATTTTGAACGATTGATATACAACTTTATGCAACCTTTAAAATATGAAAAACTAGCATTTGACTAGTATGCTGTATTCCTTTTTCCACCAGTTTCCCAATTAAGGGTCACGAGCCATAGGGTTAAATTTGAAAAAATCATGTTGAGGGTGGTTTCAGCTACCTTTGGAGGGATATTGTCTCGATATTGCTTGAAAAAGTAGGTGAATACATTAAATCGTTGACGTTTGTCGGAATTTCATTCTAGTTTACGTCTACACACTGTATAATGGTAGATCATTATAATTGATGAAAATAATGAAATTCGATAAGAAATGGCATGTTTCACATGCAGAAACATATTTATTTCATTGAGTGGATACAGAACCACATTGGAACAATTGATGTCATATAACATATATCTTCTATGAAAATTTGAATTCTCATTTAACGTCAACGGGGGTGAAACAGATATAGTGGGGTGGAGAGGATCGTAGTGTAGTTTCATGTGAGCATGCAGGTTCCTGTAAACAACTTGTATTCATTGATGAAACTGAGAAGGTATCATCATTAACGACAAATATAGCTCATTCATTCAACAAGTATGTTTTCCCCACAGGTGAGTAGAAAGAAAAATTCGAATTTGTATTTAGAATTATTACCTAGGTCTGTTTTTGAAAGTCTGACAAAACCTACCTAGGGATTCATCCCTAGAAAACATACAAACAAGAAACTAGAAACTATCATAAACAAGTCTGTTGTCAATCGTTCGAGCCGGATCTAGAATTTGTAGGTAATGTTTTCGAAAAGTTATGAGGATAAAACGTAGGTATAAGTTCACTGTTAGAGCACAGATTAACAAACTTAGAGGGTGGAGCGGCTCATATGTGAAGTGGAGAAACATATTAAAAAATGTTGAAAAAAGTAGCTGTCAAAAGAAGTCGGCTGAGTATGAAGAGGGGGCGTCCGAACAGTTCGCAGTCACGTTTCACCAACTTTTCATTAACTTAAATGATAAGTTTCCTGATCCTCTTCACCAATTGACATGTTTGGAGTGACTTTTTAGACATTTGAAAGGTATGGTACTCTTCACCCCAAAATGCGGGGTAAAGCGGATCACACTTTGACATTTTTCAAAAAATCTTTCATGATAGTTGAATTTTTTATTTTTTCACGTAGCTCTAGGACAAACAAATCATATATTTTTTCCCTAC